TTTGAAGTAGTTTTGAACCTCATCGTCATTTCAACATCAGTGATATTCACATTTCCTGGAATCTTGCATTTCTTTATTTCATAAATGTTATATCCAATTTCATAATAAACAACAGCCCCTGAGGCATTTTTCAATTTCACTTCGTATTTCACGGAACAAGCTCCATGTTCGTTCTTCATCCACCTCACTTCGACACAACCCCCGACACAACTGTCTACGAATATCTTTCCTGCTCGTAAATTTAGATTGCCATCAAGTTTCACTAGAAATATAAAATTGTTAAATTCACTTCGTTTGATTTCCAAAACGTTTAAAACAAGCCCCTAATAATAATGAGCAAATTTGAATCTAAATTTCCGCTGAAATAAAATTGCTTGGAAAGAAACATCTTCATGTAGGTTTCTAATCTTATTTGATTAAATGAAAGTGTTCTGTAAAACCAGCAACATAAAACACTTACATAAAACAGTGACGTAGGTGTCTTTGGCAAGTGATGATCCAACACTGTTCTTCACTGAAGATTTCAATATCCTCCCACAATAACTAGCTGCTATATTTGGATGTGAAAACTTTGCTGAATAGACATATGGGTAAATTTGGATACCGGCAACAGTTGTCCCACCATCACCATGATGAGGCCAAAGAAAATCAGCTGATGGTGTAGGGTTTCCATCCATTTCAATCGCTATTTCTAAATTTGAATTTTCATTCACTTCAACTGTAGCTGGAGGTGATGTGAGGAATTCTGGTACTCCTGTTTTAGGAAGCAAAGAAATCTTGTGTTCACTTGAAATTTGTTATCGCACTAATGAAGGTTGTGTAAATTGAAATTTTAGACTGAACTACTTGTAGGTGAAGGTTGATTACAATTCTCTCCATAAGACATTACAAGCAGCATTGCCTAAATTCTGATTAATTGGTTTTGTCGGGTTACGTTAGGTTAAATGTCTTCTTGACACTAACAGACGGGATTGTAGCTGCGAGCCATTCTAAACCAGCTTGGGACTATGATTCTTTGGTGCATCGATTCTAATTTCATTTGAGTTTGACTTGCTTCTAACAAAAATTAAGTGATGATATCAGTTTTCTACGCCATCACTTAGTCAACTGCTTAACATCTACCACTTCATCACTTATCAATAATCTAAGACTAAAATTATTTTCTTATCAATTAAAAGTATTCGTCATCAGGAAAAGTACTATTGTAGTTGTCTGTAGCTGAATTGGTTAGTAAAATGAGAAGCAATAAGTACAATATGCATTTCTTAATTGCTCCATTCCAAAAGAACCATGTCCATACGAAAATACAGAGTTTGAAAAGCGAGGCTGAAATTTATAATCTTACCATTGACTGTTATTCGGACAACTGGTTTGAGGTCACTTCTAACTTGGGAGCTTGAACTACCTGTGATAATATCTGTAATAATATATGATGCAAATTGGTAAGCAGTGTCATTGTACTTCAATCCACTGATCACCAATGTATCGTTGGATGGTATTATTTGGAGCCTTCCAGAGAATGGTACTGGAACAGTTGGCTCCAGCTGAAAAGCACCATTTGCTCCTGTCCTCTTTGCTACAGGTTGCAGTGCTGCCTGTGAAGAGCTGTTAAATCCAATTATTTGTTCTTTGTATGTTATAAATCCGGGTATATCACCTCCATACTCATATCCCCACGTTAACCATTGTGAAGAGCCTTTCAGCGATGTCACGTGACTTGAGGATGACTTTGTGTCATTTGCAATAAGTTGTCCTTTATTAAGTGCGGTTACTGTAACTGAGATATAGAAATGCTAAACGAATAAAATCAAATTAGCGAAAAAAGCTAGTTTGTTCTAGTTTTTTCTGGTTCTATGAGAATATCTGAAACGTCCCCTGTTCGAGCTCAATAAAACAGCGATCTCGTATGTCTGTTTTGTTTCCCCATATTTACTTCCGTGAAACGATTTTAGATCGATTGAAACTTCGGAGAATAACTAGAACTTTTTCGAAGCCGTATCGTTAATGAGCTCAAGGAATCTAAAAAAACTACTATTATCATTATTTTGATGAAAACAAGAGTAATATGAAAATGCTTTGGAAAGGTATAAAGAATTTGTCAGCTTAAAATCAAACTACTAGACACAATCTCATAACTAACAGATAAAAGACGGCTCCTAAATTAACGATTCAGTTAAAATAGCTAATCAATTTAATCATTACTTGACAAGTGTTGCTAATGACATCACACAGAAGATCCCAAGACGCCCAAGGTCTCCTTTATCTTACCTAGCCAATCAGGATTCCTTCTTCATTTTCCCGACTACCTCTGATGAAGTATCAGAGGTCATAAAATCTCTAAAAAATGGTAAATCTAGTGCTCCAAATAATATCCCAATCAAATTGCTGAAAATTCTAGATCCCTACATTTCCATTGACCTATCAATTTTGATCAATGAATCTTTTTAAACTGGTATTTTTCCTAATAAGCTTAACATTGCGAAAGTGATCCCAGTATTTAAGAAAGGTCTCTCTACCAAAAAATCAAATTATAGACCAATTTCCCTCCTGTCAATTTTCAGCAAAATATTTGAAAAATTCTAGATATTCGATATAGAGTGTGTCAGGTTCCAGAACCTTATTGAAAGCCACAATGGAACCGGGATAGCAGATGACAAATAAAAGTGTATAGTTGATTGAAAATAATTCTCTCCAATATTTTAAAAGTAGCAGGCAAGATACTTGCTGGTCTATAGTATTTCTTGCTGGTCAGTTAATCTTTCTTAAATGTCTCAGAATACACTAACAAAAAGAATGGTTGAGAACAGAGGTGGCACATAGGTAAAAAGTAAAAATATAGCAAACCAAACAACTAAAGTGACAAGTAGAGTTGGAAGAAAGAAATCAAAATGGTGAAAAGATCTTCAACATAATAGAACAGGAACTAAATCTGTACGAAAAAAAAAATTCTTGACGAATTTCTAGCAACAACCAAAATATGGTTTAAGAAATTAAAGTCAAAGGTTTGAGCCGATAGTAAATAGATAAACGGGATAGAAAAATGCTTTTTATTAACGATGAGTCGAATTTTTAAGGATAAAATAGAAATAGGCAGCTGAATAAAACGAAGATGTTTTTCTGTGTCCTTTCGGAACTTTATGGATCCTGAGCCCTGTAGTCTGTAGATGGGGAATGGTTATAGAATAAATGTGAGCGTACACACGTGCTAGAGAACTCATTTCACGCATTGACTGATTAGTATTGTCATGTAAAGACGTCATTCACGAAGGTCTCAAAAAACAGACTAGAACTTCATATTTGGTTCGTTGAGTGAAAGATAAAATACAACATTTTCAAGAAATTATTCTTGTTGACTGCTTTGGCGTAGAACAAATTTTAGCATTGTTCAAGGTAAGTACTATTTTCGATCTTGGTAAAAGATCAGCAACAAAATGCCATTCAAGAAACTTCTTTCCATTTGTCTCTTCCAATCTTTAATTATTAAGTTTATGATTATTAAAAAGGTTATCCGATTTCTATATAAACCAACAATAATTTATACTTAGGTTTAGAAGATATGAAAAAATATCGATCAAATAATTTCATATTGACAAGATTACAGAAGATTATGATTATCTAAGAACCCAAAATAATAAGAAATATGTGCAGTTTGAGCTCATAAAACGCTTGAAAGGTGCTTCGTATTTTCATAATTCCGAGCAGCATCGTGTATTTCTTCGTATGGTGATTGCAAGCCTGCGTAAGTTGAATCTGATTTTGCAATTTGTCCCTGAAGATCCATGTAATGTGTCTCTTTTGGCTGTACATTCCTATAGATTCAGCAAAGCACACTCATTTATCTTTGCTAAGTGTATGAAACTACTAAATGAAAGCCATTTAAAATTGGCAAAGGACACAGAAGAGCAGCTAAGGACAGGATTTACGTGTGAACAACAATTTATAGTAGATAAATTTTAGAACGACTTCAAATTAGCAAAACTTAAACTATACGAAAACATCAACTCAATATACCTTTTATTTCCATTGTCTTGAGCTACAAAAAAGTAGATGAAACTTTCAAGTCTTTGAGAGGCATAATTCTCAATTATGAAGGACATCTGACAGCTTGAAAGAAAAATATTTATGTGATGAAAACCGTAACTAAGGATACCTTGTGTTTGTTTCCCTTTTTTTCTGATGAGACAGGTCACCATTGTTGCCATGGCAATGAGTAAGACCGCAACCACTACTGAAAGCGCTATGATTATGTTGTCTTTCTCTTCATCGCTATTCACTGCAATGACAACACAAAATGTGTAGGTTATATGCGGGCTCTTGTCCTGTTGTGGACAGAAATCCGAGTGCTAGGAATAGCTTTTAATAATGCCCTGAACTGAAGCTGGACAGAGGGCAGGAGATAGTATCTATAAATAGGGAACATAGCCCCCTAGCTGTAGATGTTATTTTAGACTAAGTTGCGAAACCCAATTCATTCTTTGAAGTTCCAGCTCTGAAACGAGGAGTCACTAAGCCTTGAGAGTCAAATCCCCTCCCCCCCCCACCACCACCACCGTATCGCTAACATATTACCAAAAAGTGCAATAGGAAGATTCTTATATGGAAGTAGCAAAATCAACAGCTGGCCTCAAATTTAAAGTGCTGTACTCGCAAGGAAATGGAATGATTAGCGCGCTAATAAATGTTTCAGCATTGAAATTCAATTACAATCATCACCAGTGTCAGGTACAGTCATTTTGTACTGATATTCTAAGACCAACCTTAGAAACACCTTAGAGATTCAATAGAAGGATGGAGGGCCACCTTTGTGTACCAAATCCATAGTAAGTAGTATCTCTCTATTTCACGGTTTCTAGAAATCTAAAAATCAATTAAATAGAACTTGCCTTGTTTTTCTTTACATGCTGTTGGCTGAACACTTGTCTTCTCTTTAACTGTTGATTTGTGGGTCGTGTCTGTTCTCGTTGTTGGTTCACTTGAACTTGGTACTAGTATTGATGGAGAAAATGTTTATATGCAACTTAAGGTGTTCACAAATAGGTTTTCTAAGTATTATGCTTTTAAACAGCTGTAAATCGTCCAAAACAATAATAGCAATCAGATCAGGGCCAAGAAAGGAAAATAAAAACGCGACTATGAATGAGATATATACCAACCCGGTGTTTTTGAAGTTTTTAATGTAGTGGTCGGCGGTAGTGTTCTTGGGATAGGTGCTTCTGAGACTTTGGCAGTGTAGATCTTTGAAATAGTTTTGAAACTCATCGTCATTTCAACATCAGTGATATTCACATTTCCTGGAATCTTGCATTTCTTTATTTCATTGATGTTATATCCAGTTTCAGTATAAACAACAATCCCTAAGGCATCCTTCAATCTCAGTTCGTATTTCACGTGACAAGCCCCAGATTCGGCCTTCGTCCATTTCGCTTCGACACAACTGTCTACGATTATCTTTCCTGCTTGCAAATTCGGATTGCCGTCAAGTTTCACTAGAAATAAAAAGATCTTAAATTCACTACGTTTTGAACAAAAACCTTGCAACAATGAGAACATTAAACTAAGTTTTTGGAATGATTTAAATTCTTGCCAAATGAAATCTACTTACAGAATTCAAATGTTAATAAAATAAATGAAAGTATAAATTAAAACCAACAACATAAAGCACTTACGTAAAACAGTGACATTTGTGTCTCTGGCAAATGACGATCCAGCACTGTTCTTCATTGAAAATTTCAATATCCTTCCACAAAAAGTAGCCGCTATATTTGGATGTGAAAACTTTGCTGAATAAACATACGGGTAAATTTGGATACCGGCAACAGTTGTCCCACCATCACCAAGATGAGGCCAAAGAAAATCAGCTGATGGCGCAGGGTTTCCATCCATTTCAATTGCTATTTCTAAATTTGAATTTTCATTCACTTCAATTGTAGCTGGAGGTGATGTGACGAATTCTGGCACCCCTTATTAGGAAACAAAGAAAGATTGTGTTCAATTGAAATTTGTAAAGGCTCTAAGAATTGCGTCAACAGCGGCGCCATGGGAAAACTGGAGGGACATACGGGCAATACTTTGGCAACATACCTTTTGTAATGCAATCCTATAATTTGAAACTGCCTTTACGTAACAAAAAGTTAGTCATGTGCGTTCACTACAGGGTTTACTTGTGTGTTCACTTGTTTTGACAATCCCCCCCCCCCCCTTTCTTCAGAGCCTAGGGCTGGCACCACTACTGAACCGCGCAGTTGATTAAACTTCCCCGTAGATGAAAAGAGATTGCAACTCTGAGACAAAAGATGCGACCAGAGGTGCTATACAGTGGCGGACACCTGGGGGGGGGAGCGAGGAGGGCAGTTACCCCCTGAATATTTTTAGGACAATGGTCTTTTGTTCTAAAACAACGGGGCAATGTGACGTCATATTATCAAAACAATAGGATTGCCCTCAATATTTTACCAACTGTCCGCCCCTGGTGCTGTAGTGACTAATCAGTGGTTACCTAAAATCTATCTAGTTGGTGGCTTCAAGTATCTTCTCAAAACTAACACTAAAATTGTGACCCGTTTAGGACCAGCCAGGAACTGTGATTCTAGGGTACATGGGTTCTGACTTTTTTTTATCTGACCTGTATCTGTCAATAACTGAATTTTTATATCAATTTCTTACGCGAAGAGATGCTTAACTTCTTCAAAAATCAGTTTATCGATGGTAACTTCTTATTCTTTTGTCACTGATTGGCATTTTCAATCATCATTAACAGAAGTTAATAATCTACGACTAGAACCACTAGCCTTGTAAATTTATAGCCTTTTTCGACAGGGAAAACAGCATTTTAGGTGTTTGTGACTATAATGTAAGATTAGAAGCAATAAAGAAAATATGCATTCTCGGATGATCCATTCCAAAAGCACCATGTTCATACGAAAATACAAAGTTTGGAGAGCTAGGTAAAAATCTATAAACTTACCATTGACTGTAATTCGGACAGCTGGTCTGAGGTCACCTTTAACTGAGGTGCTTGAACCGCCTGCGTAAATATCTGTAATAACATATGATGCAAATTGGTAAGCAGTGTCATTATACTTCAATCTACTGATCACCAGTGTATCGTTGGATGGTATTACTTTGAGCCTTCCAGAGAATGGTGCTGGAACAGTTGGCACAAGCTGAAGAGCACCATTTGCTCCTGTCCTCTTTGCAACAGGTTGCAGTGCTGCCTGTAAAGAACTGCTAAAACCAATTATTTGCTCTCTGTAGATTATTATTCCGGGAATATCACCTCCATACTCATATCCCCATGTTAACCACAGTGATGAGCCTTTTAGCGATGTCACGTGACTTGGTGATGACTTTGTTTCATTTGCAAAAAGTGTTCCTGGATCAGCCGCTGATACTGTAACTGAGATAGAGAAATGCTAAACGAATGAATTCCTATTAGCGTAAAAAGCTTTCCTGTAAGTCGTTGATTTAATATTTTATCACATATTCAGCTGATGCAAAGTTACCCGTGTTATTCCTATACGTTACCCATTTAACAAATCAAGGAAAGATTTTGACTTGCACTGGCCACTGGCTGATAAGCAGTAGCTTATTTAAGTTCGTCCAGTTGTGCCGTTGTTCGAATTTATGATAATTAATATTTATTATAGATGTTAATTTTAGAGCAGGCTATAATAGCCATTATTATTGATGCCTCAGGAGATTAAAGATTCTTAATATAGACTGGTAACCTTTACACTCCCTCTTCCCATCTGTCTCGTCTGTCTTTGTTGGCTCTTCTATGTCTATGTCTTAGGTTTTTGCGCATATATATTATATTACAAGTCTAAAAGCTTCCTGCACTTGTTTGTATTATTTTAAATTACCTGAACAACATAATTTACCTTGATGACTTGTTGTAGTGTCTGATTTTGCGTCTCAAAACTAAGTCAAATCATTTGGAAGACAAAATGCATGCATATAGTTAGATCCATAATATGTATTCGCACTTGCGCAGATAAGCATAGCCTGAGTATTTGCTGGAGAATTTATAATTGACGGAATGTGTTGAAAGTGTGGATATTTGTCGATAAGTATCTATAGACTATATCTAAACGATACTTTATTTCTCTTGCTTGATATTAATTTTTTCGTTTGCATTAACGATATATTGTGATAAAATCCAAGAGGCATCACTGATTGTAGGATATTCTTAAGCTTTTGGATCATCCGTTTATTTTTGG